CAGCAATACCTTGCGCTGCAGACTAAACTTTTGGCAACTTGGGCATGACTGCTTACAGACTCATAAATACTGACTGCTCTATTGTATGTATAAGTATCTAAGTATGCCAATGTTAGCTTACTATCTACGTAAACAATGAAAGAGTAAGACGCGTTTTAACTGTACTGTGGATAAACTAATTTTGAAAGTTTAGTTTTTAATAGCAAACCCGGTCTCTGAATCATCATTTCTTTCAGTTTTGATCTTGCTGGCACAGTTACTGTTATCTCTCCAAAAAGATATACGTCCGTAAATGTTTCTCGACAAACTTCCTATTCATAAAGCTTAAGCAATGTAGATGTAACGTTCAGGGTCCATAATTTAATCTAAGTATCAGACTCGTTAAAAAAGCATTGATTGTTTCGCAAGGCGATTTAGGCTATGTTTAGTACCATCGCTTATCAAACGGTTACTTACGAGCTTAGCCGTAATCCTTTAGTATACGATTTTTATTTCGAATTATATTCGAAAGTTTTTATGTATTTCGGCTGTCAGCTTGTAGCAGCTAAATTTTCGCATTAAAATTATTAAATATTCAACGTAGCCCGTCACGTATTCTATGAAGTCAACTATGAGCTGTAACCTTGAAATTTTATAAGCCTATTGGTCAATAAATAAGTAAATAAACTTCACCTGCTCCTTACTGACTTTCTTGAAATGAAAAAAATTTTGATAATATTTTCTTTTATATTTTTTTATTTTCTTTTCTTCCTCTCAGTCTTTGTATAAGAAATAACATTTTTACTTTCATTTTTTATAATTTTTATTCATATTTTTATTATATATTTTATAGTTAAAGTTTTTCTTAAGTTTACATTTATTTAATTTGTAGTTTCTGTTTTTTTCCTTTTTAAATTTATTTCTATGCGAATTTTACATTAGAATATTTTATTAATCTTTCTTTATATATATATATAAATATATATATATAAATATGTAGTATTAAGAATTTACGTGTATTCTTCTATTTATAAGATGCATTTACGTAAATTTGCTAAAAGCTATTTTAATATAAGAAAAAAATTGTTCAATTTTTATATAATAATATGAATTTGCTTTTTTTTGTTTTGTTATTTTAATGCATTCAAATATATTTTTACAGATGTTTATGACAAAAAAAAAAAAAATAAAAAAATTAAAACAAAAATCGAAAAATCAATTTACAGAATTAATATGATCTTACATGTGTTTCATAAAAAAAAAAAAAATTTTTTTTGTATTTATTTACATTATTTATGATTTTTTTCTTTCATAGTTTATTCATTAAATATTTACAAAGAATTTTTTTTTTCTTTTGATAGATTTTTTACTTATGAATTTTTAATGAATATTGTCGACATGTTTTATTTTCGTTAAATTGCTACGTAAAAAGAAAAAAAAAACAAATATTAAAAACTTTTAATTAACAAAAACGAGCCAAACTACAATAGAATAAGAGTGCCGGGCATTACGCTGCTTATCAGCAGCATACATGACCAATCAACTAAGGTATCATTTTGTTAGATACGCAAAGCATTTCTAGAGAGTAATTAAATTTTCTAGCAGTGTAGAGGTATTTATTCAATTATTTATTTATTTTTTAATGTAATTTAAAGACAGGAACTGTATACATAAATATACATATATATACATATATATATATATAAATGAAGAATGAAAGTTATATTGGACCGTCATCACAACAGGGCATCCTTTTATAGACCGACCAGGGCCTCTTCTGAATAATTAGATATGCTAGTTCATTAAACATATTCGTGGACAGTGCAGCGACCTTTGTATACATACTTAACAATTTTCGTTCCTCACATGAACGCACGTCAAATTCAACGTCAATGTTCGCCGTTTCAAATCTCAAGTGGGAGAGAGTTTACTTTGATCTTGGCTATAATGAGTGCTCTGTCGGTAATGGCATGACATTTACGGATTGTAAACACACGCACGAGGCTGCAAAAACAACCTCCTCATCTCTTTCTCTTTCTTCACTTCTTTTCCGACCATCCACGTGTTACAGGGATGAAAGACATCCCGTAAGTAATTGGACTTATTAAAAAAAAAAAAAAATGAATCTTTTCTTGAAGTAGTTGTCTTCTAGCAACTAATTAAATTAAACATATGCGTTATACCCTACACCACTTGTTACGCAAGGGTTCCTTAAGCTTCTGTGGATGTATACAACACCCATACGGACTTGAGATGAAACTATCTCTTATTATAACCCATGCCTTGTCTGTCCCTCCGTCCGATTTGCATTCTTGTATGCCGCTTACAATTCGCAACTCTTCAGATATTTTGATGAAACTTGGTTGGTTGACGTATTTTGGCACGGTTTCGATCGGGCCACTTTTTCTACCATTTCGTATACAATGCTTTGTTTCGAGTAGTCATTATACAGAAAACCGTATTTAAGCAAAGTGATGTAGGATAGTTAATGGTGGGCCATGGCCTAATATAATGTTCTGACTTGCTGTCGAAGTCATTGTTTACTTATTTTAATAAACTCGTAAGAAATTCTTGATAATGGACGGATGGACAAGCAGAATTTCACACTGTGGTCGAGCAGTACATCATATTTTTTTATAAGATGCCTTAGCCATATTTCTGGATGGTGTAGGATGAGGGAAAATTTATTCTTATCTCTGTTTAATCGTTTAATTCATTGTTTCTTTTTTTTTCTTTGTTTACATTAATTAAGTTAGGATTTTTTCAACATTTTAACATAATTTTTTGTTGTTGTTGTTATTACGTAACTAATGTAATTAATTTATTTAATGAATGCATAAACAAGTTTTGATTTTTATTCATTTATATATTTATTTTTTGAATTCTTATTTTTGCTTAGCGTTAAACGTTATTTACAGTGCTTTAGCTTATGCTCCTACAAATTTTGAGGCAAAAAAAAAATTATTCTTTTGTTTAAATTTTATTTATGTATTAAATAATGGTCTTCACTTCCTATTCTACATTTACTCATAAACTCTTTTTCGGTTTGTTCGGTTCATGTGTGGCAAAAAGTTTTCATTTATGTTTTGTTTGTGTTGTTTACGCTTTTTTATTATTATTATTATTATATATATATATATATATATTTGTTTTTTTATATATATTAACTCATACATTTATATTTATATATATATCCCTTGTTTCAAATTACGTTTTAGTTTTTTTTTTTTATTTTCTTGTTTTTCTTTTTCAATACATACTTACCGGCAGAGCTCGGGATTGTACTAAACTCAATCATTCTGTTTGTAACATTTAAAAATACGCGCTTGAAGACTTTATTGTAACGTGAGTTTTGCCAAATTTTTCATCTGCTAGTCAGTGTGATCTGCTAGAACGAATGGAATCGAAATCTTAAGGATCTTGTTTTTTTGCTAAGACACGTAATTGGCTCTGCTTACTTTTTGAAATTAAAACATAACATGCTTATAGACATAACCTATTCTGTTATTAGGAAAGGAAAAAGTTGGTCGTATCAACCTCGCCTCTTGCCTATCTTACTTTGATCATAATAATCGAACCTTGTAATATCGATAAGTTTTCCTATAAAAAACCGGCACTTATTAAATGTAATGATGGGATTTTAGATGATCAGTATCGCCAGTGTGTTGCCAAACGGATATTTTCGCCGTTCTCCGAATAAAAATTTGCATTAACTAGTAAAGGGCAAACAGGAACTTTAGCTAATAGGCAGTTAGAGTCATGCTCCCATCGAATACCTGGCGGCGCACCTGGCACAGGTTCAAACAATCTCGAATGTATGCCTTTTCTTAATCTTCAGATTGATAATCAATAGATAGATTTGCACCAAAGAAATTTAAAGTTCACACGAATCCCGCCCCAACCTGTCCGAAGTTAGCTGTACACGACATATACTTCGCTTTCTTGTAGATAAACTCATATGGAAGCTGCTCTCTATCATCACATTAATGCACGCAGGCATCAACTTTAACTGAGTAATTTTTTCATTTTGTGTTAACTACAATCAAACATAAAGGTATCTTCAATCTGGACTGCCGCATAGCCGAGCAAGTAAGTGTTTACGACTACCAGTCGTAAGTCGAAGTCACTGTACGCGATTTGAAATCTCAATGCGCTTTTGACCCGATACTTGGTTGTACGTGTAGTGAATGCGTAACACTTATTGAACCCTCTTTAGTCTGGGTTGATTTGCTCCCAATCTCATTTCTTTCTCTTTTCTCGCTTCTTTCCACCCCCTAACGTGTTACCCGTTTAGCAGACGACCCTATAGTGATTGTTCATTGAAAAAAAAAAATGTTAAACTAGTTCAAAACTTTGCGAAGCGAAAATGATAAAGGAGCTTCATTGCCTTAACATTAAAGCGTCAATTTCCGTTGTTCTTATGTCCATTTTACAAAGTAACTAATTAATCTAATTCTTGTTAACTCTTGAGCGAGTATATACGTGCAATTATCATAAGCTGCCGATCCGGTAAACTCGTTAGTGAGTCTCCAGTAACAATAACACCATAAACCCTAACTAGCATATCCAAGTTCCGTCAATAAATAAAATTGCATATTGTAACCAAAACTAGGAAGGCCCTTTCAATTCTTTAAAAAAATACTTTGAAAAGAGAGAGAGAGAGAGTGATAAACCCGTCTTACAAGCGAGCTTTTTAAGCCCTCTATATAGTTTCAAGTTCTCCTCTCAACGGGAAATATATTTAAAAAAGAGAGAAAAGATAGCTCTAGACAATCCATCACATAACTGCTGATCAGTTGAATGCTACGGATTAAGTGGCCTCCAGGAAACGTATTTCTCTACTTTACAAACAGTTGAACAATTTTGAATACACTCCCTATGCGAAGAATGATAAATATTAATATTGTTTTCTGTTTTCTGTTTTTTTTTTTTTGTTAATTTTCGCTTCTTTTGTCTTTTCTTAAATGGGATGTTCGAAGTTGCATGTACTAGGCTTGGCTTGTTAATCTTTAAATTCCCTGTTTTTTTTTTCTTTGCCTGAAGAAAGACGAAAAATGTTGTCTGCTTCTGTTTGCTTCCTTTTCTTTTCATCATACAATCCTTTATACTTTTATTTGTTTGCTTATCTGCTGCCTATCGTATATTGTGTCCATTCTCTCTTAAAGTTACCTTAAACTAATTTTACATAACTACACATATCATAATTATTATTTAAACAATTGCTTAATGTATCTTTATCACTGCTAATGGATCCCGTTTGCAAGATCAAGTGCTCCTTACTTTTATACCCTGGATATCATACATAAACCACGTGCGGTTTATTAAGACTGCCGCCGCTACCCGCGATACTGCCGCCTCCACCGCCGCCACTGTTAATGCCCTTTGTGTGCTGATTTGAACTCATTACTAATTTACCGTTAGCCGGTTTCGTCATGCTTTGCGTATCGGGATAATCGTAGTGATCAAATTTTTCATAAAGATGTTCAGGCTCGTCGGTATAAGTGTTACTGCTGCCGACTGCGTCTTTAACTGGTGGCAACTCCCAAGGCTTCAAAGCTCTGTACTCATTCGCTATAGCTTGTGCCGTTAGGTAACGTTCCAGCTCAAGTTTATCTAATTGCGGCAGAGTTTGATGATAATCCTGATGATGTAGAGGATGCATAGCATGAGGATGAGCAGTTGTGCGTTGCGCCTGTAAAGTGTGAGCAGGATAACCACTACCTGGTAAACTACCGTTAGCACCAGTACTTAAAGGCTGATGAGCTAAAATCCGATCGTGAACATTGACAATCGATTTGCCTGAACGTAAGTTTCGATCGTGCATCAGTTTTCGACGGCGTTTCACGAAACGCATATAAAATATTATACTCGTTCCAGTCATTATTACCAAGAGAAACGTCAAGACGGCACAAACGATTGTTACAACATGGGCGGGGCAAGTAATTTCGCTTTCGGTCATTGCCGCCAAATGTCGGCGAGTGCGTTTGCTATCGCGCAATATTTCGCAACCAATGCGTTCGGCATCTAATTTCAGGAAACCGTTATTACTCGGCGGAGTGCTAGTGTACTGGAATTTTGTGGTAAAATCTTTCTTCCTTTCCGCTACATAGGCGGCCACACGTACCAAATTATCTTCGACGGCAGTCGATGATTCTAAACTTGATGGCTCGATATCGCGACTAATCAGATTGTCCGGTGCGAGATCTTTCACATTTCTGCCTGTCAGACCTGCTTGCAAGCCGTTTTCAAAATTGCCGGTAACCAAACGCCACAACCAAAACAAAGTGCAATTGCATTGTAAAGGATTGTCACCCAGATATAGTTTTTCCAATTGATCGATGGGAAACTGAGCTGCGTATAGGGTTTGCAGGCTGTTGGCCTGCATGTAAATCTCTATAATATTCGGGTTGCCTTGGAACAGACGCATCGGTATATCATTTAATAAAGGATTCCGGTTTATGTGGAGAATTTGCAAATGCGTGTTATCTACGAATGCTCTGCAAAGAGAAGTAGAAGAGAAAAAGAAAATCACAGTTCAATAAGTTTACTTTTTCAATATTGTGAATATATTTGATTTTCTCCATTTTCCTAATTATTTAAAAGAGTTTTTTGGTTATCGGTTATGTGCGTTGTTGTTGATTTTGAAGAAAATTTATTCAAGCATATAATATCCAGCTTGTTTAACAAATTGTTCCGATAACCCTTTTGGCCTTTGTATATGCATTCTATGAACGTGAGATACGAGTCGAAAAAGAAAAAAAAGAAAAGGAAAATATTTTCCCACCCAGGCAAGTTAAAGCAAATAAATGTTTTGCTGCTTGGCTGCTTGGCTGACAGTGGAGGAGATGGTGCTGTTATGGAAAAATGTTGTTGTTCAAATATCAGCTTACATGTGATTTAGCTTCTTATCATTAGAGTAAAATTTACCCACTGACTGGAATGCTCTTATTGCCTCCCTTCTCCTCGCGAACATGCCATACTCAAAGTGTAAATGTTGTGGCTTTTAGGTAAATGAGAAAATGTTCAGCGTTTGTTTTCAAAATTGTACAGGTAACGCATTTAAATAATAGATATCAGTTACTAGACACGAAGAAAAGATTCGCTTTCATTTTGCTGTTAAAATATGCAAACTGATACTTAACAATTAGAAGAAGGGTGTATTACTAGCTCAAAGAGGGTAGTACAGTTATATGTACGTGCGGACGTTGTAGTACACAGTAAGCAAAGTAACGAAATTATGTGAACAAGGGATACTGTAGTCAAGACGAAGAAGACGGGAAAGTGGGATTATATTTCCCTTTTCTGCAAACAAATCCAATTGTTTTCAAAAAAGTTTTAGACAAATTAGAATTGAAATTCGGATCGACGTCAAAGAAATAAAGTCATTATAATAATCATAAAAAGATTTGCTAAAGGAAACTTAGATAATAAGGCAAAAATGACATGAAATAATTTGAGGATTTCTCTTACGCTTACACCAGTCTTTTCCTTATTATATTTTTTTATTTGATTTTCTTAATGATAAAAACGAGCCTTCATTGAGATGAGATTTAAGAACAAATGTATTAGTTTTAAAGGCCGATTGACATTGATTTTCAAAGTGAATGAACGATTACATGAGCCATGAGTCCATGTCCTTTTTAAAGTGTTGTATCTGCATGCAGTCTGTCCCTCTGTTTATTATGTTAATATCGATCTATTCGCAAGATGTGTGACAAGTGCCCACGAAGACACCAATAGGCTTCATTTTCTCGAATTTTTTTTTTTGGCCAAAAACAGGTAACAAGTTTAAATTGGAGCACGATTCACATTAAATACTCTACACCAATAGTTTCATGTCACGCGTACCGTTTTCAGTACATTCTACGCTTAATTTTTTAGGTCAAAGTTGAAATAATTAAATAAAAACATAAATAAGTTAAATTAACAAAATTAATATATTTACATTCCATGTACTGAAAAAGGTACACATGCCTTGACATGCATGCATGTTGACATACGTGCCTGTAAGAACTGTTAATTCTCGAATGGATTTTTTATCGGACACAATTTCTTTACTTGTGAACTCTTGCAAAAGAACACCAATAAAGTAAAGCCAACTGTTCAGAAAAGCCATGATCTAGTTCATTTTGCTTCTCGCAGGAGATCCTGCACTTTCTTCCTTCCAGTCGAATATTTGCAATATAAGCCATATATGCAATTTTTGAATGGAGTTATATTGGAAAGCTAATGACAAAGTACCAGCTTTAGCCAAGAGGAAACAATGCCCTCGAAACATTTTTTTAAGTTTTACCTAAAACTAGTATTCGCAGGCGAATCGAATGATTGCAGGACGACAACGAATTTAACTTCTGATGGGATGTTCTGCAAAAACAAACGGAGCAACGAACTCATAACCCACGTCGCCTGACAAATCGAAAAAAGTTTAGCCTTATGTTATATTGCTTTGGAATGAAAGCATTCAAAGGCTTCCTTTAAAGCTTGATTGAATCCTTTATTTTAGTTAAAGTTTAAAAAAAAATCTCCACAGATTCTGAATATATATTTTATTTCAATATTTATAATGCTTTTTTAAATGTTTTAATTCCATAATAAAAAACGTGTTTAACTTTTTTATCTCAATTAATCTTTTTTAATTGCTTTTGCAGAAAAAAGCCAACGGATAATTTACGCATAACATATGAGCGATTAATGTAATGGTATTCAATTGCTTTCTGTTGGCACATTTTAAAATAACGTAATCATATTATATAATATATAAAAGGAATTTATAATAAATAACGCATAACTAGGTTAACCTTATAACGCAAAAGGGGACGGTAAAGCAGTTACCGCAAATAGGATTTTGAATATCATTGCTTTCGTTCTCAATAATATTTCTGATATGAGGCGGACCATGAATTAACGAAGATCGGATATACAAAAAAAATTTATCCATTTAACTTATGCCGCAATGATCATCAGGGAAATATATTGTAGTCCTTGCGTCTCAAAACTATCTCTGAACGATAAATGTCTTCTTTAAGGGGCCATTATTTCCACTCGAAATTTCATAACAACGGGTGATTGATATTTGAAAATGGTGGTGAAATATTTGTATAATGCATACATGATCTCATGATGATTTTTTTTGCTATACATACAATACACAATATAAATTTTCAAAAGCGGACAAGTAGGGGAAAAGGAATTTTCTGGTTTAAAAGCATCCCCTGTTCATCTCTAGACTTTTAGGACCCTCTCAGAGCACTAGCAAATCACGTTAATGTTCACTACTGTCTTCAAATATTTTTTTTCCAGCCACTGAAGAGGGCAAGTGTAATCATGCCTTCACGTGAGGTGGTTATAGCTGGGATTATAGTCACATTTGGATAGAGTTATAGTTAGAGGGGGATGGAAGAAGTCAATCAGTACGGCTAACCTTGTCGTCACTGAACAGGAGCATAGGCTTAACTTCAGTTGATGGGGAGAAACGCGAGCGGTTTTCTACGTTAAGCGAATATCCGCAGTTGTCAGAGATATTCCTTTGAGCTGTTGATAATAAAAAAATGAAAGAGAACGTTTGCTTAGATAAGGGATTTCCATACGCTCTCGTAATGTATATATAAGTCATTCTAACAAAGGACATGCCGGCCTGTGGTTTAATGTTGTATCTGTATTTTTGGTGGGTTTGGGAAATAAAAAAAATGTATAAAAACTTATAGCAGTCTAATCCTATTTGCTTGATTTATTTTTTTATGTGACAAGCCGCTTAGAAGTTCAGGCATAATAGCGCCTGCGGGTACGCGGGTTACGTAAGGGATTGTAGGTATTAGAAAGTAGAGAGGGACGTAAGAATGGAGTACTATGGCTAAATTTGTCTGAGGTCTACATTATTGAGCCGGAGTATAAGCCTAATTTCCGTCGAGAGGGAAGCATGGGCTTGCTGACTATAGTCGAAGAAGAGAAAGAGGAGGCCCGTGTTACGTCAAGTAAGTAGCCGACGTTATTAGAGATATTCACACTTCTTGACAGTTACTGACAATAAAGTGGAATAGAATACGATATGAAAATAAACTTTACTGAATCTTGGTGTAGGTGTGTCTGGGCTTGCTACTTAGATAAGTGATAAAAATTATTTTTGTACAGGTGCGTGTTAACCTACCTTGTAGTGTGGGGGGGCATCGAGCGCATTTGTATTTTTAATGGATATGGGAAATAAAGCAAATGACTAAAAACATATGGCAGTCATTTGGGGCAATTTTTCTTGATATTTGTTGTTTTTTGCGCATTAAATAAAATTGAAAACAATCAAATTTGTTTAATTTCAATAAAACGCTATATTATCACTTTTATCACTCTAATATCATTGTATTTGAATGCTTAATAGAGGTAATTGTTTTAGTTCGATTTCATTTATAAATAAATTATTGGTAAAATTTCACTAAATTAGCATAAAGTACTTTTGGTATACACACATGCCAAGGCATTCCTTTGTATGTATGTAATTATGTATATATATATATATATATAGATATACATATGTAATATGTATATGTATATTACACTATATATATATATATATATGATATGTACACACATATCTATCTGTATTAGTTAGAGTTCAATTATATGCAATTACTTTGGGAAATGTCATTAAGACCAACTATTTAAATAATTTATGGCAGAAACTTTTTTTTCGTTTTTTTCATTTTTTTATTTTGCTTGTTTATAAACACTAATAGGACACATTAAGGGCAGGATGGGTGGACTTTGTAATAAAATATATATGATATCGGGTAGTTCATTGAAAACTTACCTTGAATCTATGCGTTGTAATAAATCCAAACGATTCAAATGCAATTCTCTTAAATGGAATAAATTCAAAAAAGCTACGGGCGGTAAATATGAAAAACGATTACCGCTTAACGTTAGGTGAGTTAAATTAGACAATTTTGATAATTGCTGGGTGGGTACCATCTGGAACAAAAAAAAAGAAAGAGTATGAAAGCGAAAATAAAATTAAAAATTTCATCGTAAATATATAAAAAAATGTGAAATAATAACAAAGAACACAAAAAAAAAAAAAAAAAAAATTCTTATGAATTATTAGCCAAGGTGTTGTTTGCCCCAAAAACATTTGAAAAAATTGTATAAAATCTTTTTGCTGTTTTATATATTATTTAAGAGCTTTTGGCTTTTTATGCTTCGTATGTAAGTTGCTTTCTTTCCGGTCTCTCTCACTCCCTTGCTACTGTTCTGACAAATTCTCACTCACGAAAGATTGATTTTATTGCCACCGAATGGTTTAGTTTTGTCTTTTGCCAAACAACCACTCAGCAGGGCAAGTATTGCCAATTCCTTTAACGTGTGGTCGAGGGTGATACATTTTCATACTCATTGCTAGAAAATGGTAATACATTAATTTTGTTTTTCGGTATGGAACATGGAAAAAAAGGGGAAAAACACATTAAAGACATCATGGTATTGCAAGAACCGAAACCCCGAGTTCGTTTCGATCCTACACTTTGATTACTATTTTACGTTTTATAGTCTAGTCATCTCGTAGGTTAACTTAAAGTTTTCATATCGTAATATTAGAGTTTTCTTTTGTCAATTCATCAAGATGAGCGAAGACCAGATAGGTTTTCGCCTACGACAGCCCCCCAGCTCACGTCGAATGCGATTGAAAACCGAGTGGCAACGTCAATCAACTCAAGCCTAGCATTCGAAGAAATGACAAGAACGTGTCCTCGTTCTTTTAGAGTCACTTGCCATAATGGTCATATGCTTAATTAAATTAACCTGGAGTGGAGCTTTATTTAAGTAAAACAAATAAAAACACTGCAGTAGACCACGGCCCACCTGTAGATACTTTACAGCATCCTGCAGTAAGTAAGAATTTTTGATAATAAGGTGTTATAAGGAAGGTGGTCGAAACAGCGGTTAGATCCTTACCATTTACACTAGTTTTTGTCCTTGGGGTTGAACGCAAGAAAACGGAGGTTGTGACAGACAAGCTCGGATCGATTAAGAATTACCCTCCGAATTGATCGATATAATAAAATGTCTCTGTCAACCATTCTTCTTCTTCTTCTGGGCGTGGCATAAAACCGCGCTAGGTGGTGTAGGATTTAATTACATAAATGAAATTGAAAGAATGACAAACGATTTTATTTGCCCATTACGAGTATATTAAAAGATCGATGGTTAGGAACGGAGCGGTGAATTGCAAGGTTAAATCCACGTATCAGAGACCAGGACGGCTACACAAGACTGGCGAGTCATTGCCAAGCTGTGTAATAAGATATTTTGCGGTATGACAAAATTTCAATTCATTTAATATAATGAATCAAACTCTCTTATATTCCCATCTCTCGGTTACCTCTTCTTCATACACACAAATTGCGATATTTATTCACAAAGTCAGTCTAATTCATTTGATCTGTAAACGTGTTTGGCTCGCATTCATTACATTATAAGGAAACATTACTACATTACTAATCTACAAATTTTTACGAATTTCTTAGTATACCCTAAGGAGCAAATATAATTAATGCCCATTAGCTGATTGAATGCTGTGAAGAGTTTATTTTAAAATGAGTGGTGTGTAGCGAATTCGCGCTAACCCAGCTAACCCTTATTGGATTCGTTAAAGCTTCACTGGTTTGGTTAACTGCATGCGTTCAAATAGAAAAAAAATTTACTGCTATCTACCTCTTCTTCTTTTCCGAGTGAAACAAGCAATGTTCTGCACACAACAAGCACAATTCCCTTTCATTTGTTTCTATACAATTTTCTCCTTTTTTTTTTTTCAAAGCAATTTTTTCTATTCTATCTTATTCTTTTTTCTTTGTTTTGATTTGTGCAATTTTTAAAATAATATGTCCAAGTATTACATGCTGTTGCTTTCCATGCCAAGTGGGAGTTTCTCAAGTTTAGAAAATTGGCGAGTTAAAAATATTTTTGTATCAATTTATATATTTTTTGTTTTATTGTACAACTTTTGTAGAGTTTTCAGGAAACAAGGTCAGGTTTACTACCTTCTTTTTTTAGCTGCGTTGTTTTTTTTTTTCTTTGCTGCAGGAAAATAATCAACAATAATAAAGTTTTTAAGTTTTTGTAACATTGTATAAAGAAGCGAAATTGTTGAGATGATGGTTTTATTCGGTTTTTTATGAAATGTATTTCTTTTTGTTTATTTCTACCGAGAAAGTCACTATGTCACGTCTAATTACCCAATTATGACAAAAATTCAAAAAGTACTTTGAAATTTTTGTTTTTTTTTCTTTTTATGAATTTTCTACAAAGTCTGAAATACAAATCGAGAGAGACGAATGAAAGACAGGATAGAGTACCATACGTTTGTATAAAAGACAATAGAACGGTAGGAAACTAGTTTTGACAGATTGATAAAGAAGTTGTAAGAAGGAGTTTACAAGAGTTTCATTTTATTTATTCATTAGTGACTGTAATAAATATTCGGATGAGTTAGGTAAGACTGTTAGAAATAAGGACTAAATTGCATCATTATAGAGAAGATCGTCGATCGAATTCACAACAAAGTTCGAAGTGAACTGTTTTTTCTTTTTTTTTTTCTTAAAACATTGCTAAGGCTTAAAATTGGTAATAAGCAAAATTAAATTTAAGGTTTATCGTATCACTATGGCATTATGGCGAAGAAGATCAATCAGAACTTGCCAGTCACGAATCTTATCTTATCTTAGCTTATTTTCAATGCCAATGCTAACCTTCGACCTGTCTGAGTATTTCTGTCTTCAACCTACAGGTTGAAGTTTCGTGACGAAGTTTGTTACATTAACGGATGCTATTGAAAAAGGTTCGGATCGGCTGAATTTTCGCCCACTTCCCATGAAGACCCACGAAAGTAAAGGGTTTTGCTACGGTTAAGCAGATAAAGACCGTATCGGCGAAAGAACTCAAGGCCATGCCAACTGGAAAATGGCGCTGACGCAAGTGTATCTTATCTAAGGAGGATTATAAATATTTTTCGAGAAAAATCAAGCCCCAGCTTGTTTTTCTGAGCACACCTCGTAGGCAGTGAGGGATCTAAGAATCGTGTCACAGATAAACACTTCTTTTTTATGTCTCTCGCATGTAGAGCAATTCCATCTATCCACATCTTGATTTATAATAAACTAATTAATCCTATTCTAGATGTTATTCTAATCCCTCTTCATCCGTTTTCTATGGACAATGTTTTACGCATTCTCCATCTGCATTTGGGGATAACTTTGGATTTCTCGGGATAGGTTTACTTGAATTTTTAAAGAAAAAACCATAAACTGAATGTTTTACCAAATATTTACCGTTACAATATTAAAACGCATATTTCAAACAATAAAATACCAAAATACTACAAAAATAAAATAAACAAACGCATACATGCATATATATGGATATATATATGAAACACTTGCTCACACCATTGACCGAATGGCAGAGGAGGAATGCCGAAAGAGTGAAATAAAGACAGACAGGGACAGAGTGAGAGAGAGAGAGAGGGAAAAAGTAAACACATGCTATAGAGAAACTCTTACAGTAAAGTATTTTTAAAGGTATTTTAAGTAGTTTCCGGTACGACACACATAGTCTTTCACTTCTTTTTTTTTTTTTTTAACATATAACAACACACAATAACGACCAAACTTACATACAACTATTACTTGTATATGCTATTGTATTAAACAGCATATCACGTAGAAGCAGTGGCAATAGTGCCAACAAAAATTTACTATTAACAATGACAATAAATTCTCTAAATACGAGTAGTTTACGTAGAAAAATAAGCAAGCAGACGGACAATCATTCCGGACTGCTGTTGTCCTGCTGTTTTATAATCATGTTTATTTATAAATTGCGAAAAACCGAAAATGTGGGAAAGATATGCAAAGGAAAACAACAACGACAACATATATATATATACGTTATCATGATTATTAAATAGAAAACGAGAGTAGACCGTGAACGAGGGAAGGAAATATTACAGCTATTTGTCAAGTAAGGTCTTGGAAATTGATTTTATATTATTTAAAAAGGAAACGAGTTATCTTTTATGATTTAATGTAAAAAAAAGCTCAAAAAGTGAAACGAAAACAAAGCTCTTAGGGTTTTGGTAAGATGAGTTACTTTATGGAAAAGTATTAAGTTCTAGTTTCTATGAAATGTAATCTATTTTACACGCTCTGTTATTTTGCCCTTTCTTTAAGCTCTCTTCATCTTTTCAACTTGATTTTTTAATTATTTTCTTATTACTCTTTTTATATTCTATACCACTCGTTTGTGGGGATGTTTGCAATGCCCAGAAACACTTCAGATAAATCCACCTCTTACTGTATCGATTCATTCAGAATCATCTCTTTCATCGATCAAACCTTGTCTATCCGTTTGTCCGTCCGTCCTTTTTGTTTCGTTTTAGTCAACCTACAGATCGCAACTTTTAAGCAATTCTAATGAAAATCGATACAGGACGAACACTGTTGGAAATAGGTCAGACTGGATTACTTTTTCGACCATTTCCCTTATAAAGCCTTATTTTGAAAAGTCGTTACATGAACAACTGTACGATGATGTAGGGTATTTAATAGTATCTTTAGCTTTTTTTTTACTACCAATGAATTAAATAACAAAAATCATATCTGAAGTTGATATTTGTCGCTCTTTCATTTCTTCCACTTGTCGTGATCTATATACAATATGAATAAGGAAGTCGATGAAGTGATATATATATACATTTCTAAATTGCCTTTATTCCCACAAAATATATTAATTTTTTGCATTAGCTTTATGTAAAAGCATAATTTTCATGAAACAGCCGATATTGAAGGACACAGGACAAAGGTCAACCTGGTCTAAATTTAGCAAATTTAATTTACTTCTCGAAGATTTTACTATGAATTTATACAGTGTCATATTTGAAGATTTATTTACGACCTACGAACTAACCTAAAGCTTACGATGAACTTAAAAGTTTTTTTCTCAAATAATTTGGAATTGTGTATAAAATTTTATGTTTATACACAACTTGTTTGGATAAAAGACTGAATTTGAACTATAAACAAAAAGAGTAATAATATAATACTCTTCTATAAGCCCTCAATTAGTTCCACCTTTATATACAACCAATGTTGAGAAAATTAAGATCCAAACCCAATTGTCACACAATTGCAATTCACCAACGGATCTTGAAGAAGCCTTACTCCCCAATCTGCATTTGTGGACAAATTTTCAATATAAAGCACACTCTCTGTGACTGCCTTAACTTTTCCCTGGCTAGAAATATTGTATTTGGAACGATTAACCCTATGGATATTCTACAATCAGCTACAGAATCGAATATCAATACAATATATTACTTTATTAAAACTACTAGGTTTAATATCTAAAGTACTTTTATAAATTAGAGCCGATACCCTGTGTTGCTAGTGCTCCATGTTTTTTTTTTTTAGTCTGAGAATTTATTTCATTAGTCTAAAATTATAGTAATAATAATAATAATAATTGTTCCTATAATTCTCATAATACCCTGAGAAGTATATCGTGCCATGATTCGTAACAGAAACACATATCGGCATTATGGTCTGTCTTGTATTAAAATGTAGAGTTTATACTCCACCTCATCTAGCTTCGTTTGCTCCCCTGCTCTGCTATTGTACTTTCACTTTCTTTCTATGCTCCACATTCCATAACTCATTCCATCTAATTGACGTTTGCTTTTCGTTCACACTAATTACGCAATGTTTGGCTTTTTGTATAATGTTTTTCGAAGGATCTCTTCATTACTTTACACTTTGTTTCTTATAGTTCCCCTCCATTCGATTAGCGAATCTTGAAGTGAGCAAAAGTTAGTTTTAAGAAACAATTTTATCAATTTGCGAGGATAGTGAAGCTCCTTCTGTACAACTTATTCGATAGACTACTAACGATAGGCTTTAAGCGATTGATTCAAAAGAGGTTGGAATCAAATGTAATGACATAATTCCAAAGAGAAAAAAATTCTGCTCTTTTGATAACTTTGTACTAACAGCATTGCTGACACGAAATACAACATTAGGGTGTTTGAAAAGTCATTTCGCTTTTCTTTCTTCCAACGGAGGGTTTAATTGCACATTTCACATTTACGCCGCATTGTCATTATATACTTTGGCAACTGATGAAGTAGAGCTTGTTTGTGAAAAAGTTGGTTTGATTATGTTGTCGGTACCCCATCATATACGGAAACTCGAACTTTTGACTCAACAAAAAAAAAAAAAAAAGAATGGCGGAATGACATGCGGACATACTTGAGCATGTTTCAATATCATTTCGTACTTACCGTTAAATTATTGTCACCTAAATCCAAATACTTTAGCGTTATTAGGCCATCGAATGCACTGAGATCCAATTCGCTAATAACGTTGCCTCTTAGCGTTAGGGTTACTAATTCTCTTAATCCTTCGAAGCTATCATTCCTTACGTATTCCACCAAGTTTTCAGAAACATCTAATGACTTGATAGCATGTAAATGCTGTAAATTACTTGCCGGCACATCCAATAGTTGATTATTTTTGAATATTAAGATCTCCAAGGACATTAAATTATGAAATGTATTCTCCTCGAGACTAACGATATTATTATTAGTCAAATCCATTTCAATCAGTGAATTTAAGTCTGCCATTGCAGACGGATGGACCACTTCGATGCGATTAAAGCTGAGATCGAGTACCAGTAAATTACTTAAGCCTCTGAATGCGTCCTTTTGCAGTGAGCTGACTGAGTTGTGACTTAAATTTAAAGTACGCATTTCAATTTGATATTCGAAATTTTTCGAACCCAATGTTTCGATGATGTTGCGCGATAAATCCAATACCTCTAATTTCATGTAGAACGGCAGCGTAAATTCTATGTTACGTATTTTATTGAGCGTTAAATTAATGTATTTGGTCTCAGGATTTAATTGTATTGGCACATCCTCGAGAGCGGCGTCAATGCAATAGGCTCGGCTATTAGCGTCACCGCCCAAGCATTGACATTTTGAAGGGCAAAATGCCACTGCTCTCTGCTGTGGATGACAGCTAAGCAGGATTAACAATAATGAGCTTAAGTGTAGCCAGGATAAATTACATGATGTTAAGCGCCATCTTACATGGACAATTCTGTGTAAGTGTTTCATTTTTCACTGAAAACCAATGCAGGTTATTGCTTACGGGATATAAATGCTGTTCGTTAAGTTTGGTCGCGGCGGTGGTGGTGGTGTGTGGCTGCTTCGTTGCTATTGCTGTTGTTCTTATTGTTACGAAAACCAATTAATAAATCTTAAGTGTTGCGCCAGTAAATGGAGATTAAAAAAAGATTTTGGCAGCAATTACCACACAAACAACATGACAAAGTCTAAAACGCAATGAAAAAGAAAAAAAAGATCAAAGCATTACTATAACGAAATTAGTTTACGAAAAAAAAAAATATATATATATAATAAACAATTTGAAATATGTTAAGACCTTTGGTGAACTCTCGAAATGCCCACCTGTTTACTCCACTCATACAATTCTTAATTAATCAAATATTAATATTAAAAATTAATATTAAGGATAAACTAAGGATATATGTGTATGTGCCTGAGGGTAGGCTTAATTTGTTTTAATATAAATTTTGTTTAAAATTTTGTTTTCGTTATTTTTTTTTTTTTTTCTTACTTTAAAGTGGAAATTATGCTGTTTGCTGGGGGACCTTATCTGTTATTTAAAGATAAGACGCTGATCGAGAATTTCCCGGAATGACATATAGATCTCATCATTAACAAGATTGTGCTTAGAATGAACCAATATTCAAACAACATCTGTTAAAATTTTATATTAATTCGCTTATTTCTTTAGGTGCTGTCGTGATTTAACCAACCCTACCTTTCCTACTTTCAAGACTTTAGAAAATTCGAATTTTCTGTGTTGACCAAGAAATATCGTTCTAACTCAGCATTTTCTTGAGAAGCGTTGTATTAACTTTTCTTCGTTGAAAACATACTCTGTCGGGCCTACGGAAGCGGATAATGTCGAACGCAGCGAGTCCCGAAAAGATGTACTTATAACATAAGAGTTCAAGGAACCGTTGAAAACTGAAAGACATAGCTAATATCATAAATATATAAAAAGGCAGCATAATCACCATTTTGTATAAAAATGTCGCCATGAGAGGAATGTTTTGCAGATGGATACCCCGTTCACTCCCAGCGAACCAAAAGCATCAACGTTTTACTGATTAGGTATAAGAAGCAAATCGTGTGAATTAAATTTTGATTTGCTTTAGCATCTATCGTATTTTCTAAACCTTGTCCTCACCGACTGTCATCTGTTGAAACGGATATTAATCATCGGGCTTCGAAAGGTTAGAGAAGCTTTGGACTGATTGCATCACTCTTAAAGAAGGGCTTTCCTGACAAATAAAGTGGACCTTTTCAAAAAGAATAAAGTTATTTATTCAATTAGTCCCGGAAATTATTGATGGATATACTGTTTAATACATTCTGACTATAATTCTACTAGTCTACTAGTGCTTGAGGTATATTAATGCTCTTATAACGTTTGCACTGTTCAGTAATAAGCAGCACTGTACTCTGTATTGTAAATTTGATATGCTCAGGTGATTAATTCCTGGCTATCGGCTCGTTTTTCCTTTGTTGCAATTTTAATAATCATCAATATTGGGGTAGGACATATATTTTTTTGTCGAACTTTACCGTTTATATATAACATAATATGTCTTGAAAATGGGTTTGCTCTCTTTTAAGCGCCATAATGTTGGGCTTGCCGGAAAGGTTTGCATCAAAAATTTATGTGGCTTTGTTAGGTATTTTAAAAAAATTTTTGATTTTGATATTTGCTATAATTTTTAATTTGTACCAAAAAATTTTTAGAAAGCTTTTAGAATAGGCGTGGCATATGGACGAGACATAGCCAATAGAAAACTTGCTTTTCAAAATCACAAAACCACCCCCTGAACACAGTGTCACGTTCTTATTTTAAGCGTGCGGCCACGACAGCATCAACTGATTATAACAAACAATCGAACGGACGGACGAAATAATATTTTGATGTGGTTAAGTCAGTTCGGAAATTTACCTCGACTGCAATTATATGTACTAAATGGGTTCTCTGGTATAGACTTAACTACCGAAATTTATCAATAATTTATGATCTGCACTTAAAAAAAAAAAAATATGATAAAAGTAGTATATGAAAATCCGATGTAAACTTGTGGATTTAATTTTGAAAAGATTGGTAAGTATGTGAAATTCCCTTTAAACCGCATACAAATATTTATTTATATTTTTTTTTGGAAATTGCTTTAAGGTTTTCATTCTATACACATTTCAGAAACTTATTGATTTTTGTTGTTTTTTTTTTTTTTTTTGGCAAACAATGAACTCCATCTCCGTTCTGCTTTCCATTCAGCTCTCTGCACCTGGTGAGTATGTAGAGCTAATCAAAAATACATTTAACCTTAAAAACAACTTTAGAAACGGGAGCATTAGTAAATATTTTATGAGTCTCTGTAGTTAACCCTGCAGGTTAGAGAGCAAATGGTTAACTATAAACATTATAAATTGATAGTTAAATAGAAACGAAGTACAGGAAGCAATTTTTTAAAGAATAAAAAAAATACATTGCAAATAAATTTACAACATTTAAAGAAGTGACTCGTTTTATAACAAAGAAATAAAATTTTTTGGATAATAAAATATTTGTAAGGAATTTCTGAAATGTCTATCCGAAGTTAACACAGGTATTAGAGAGTTCGAAATTCTTAATCAATAAAATGAATGGAAAAACCTTTTCTACTAAGATCTCAAAATTTTCCTTTGCTAGCATCCTCTTCCTCTTAAATTTTGAACTGAGTCCGATACGGTTGCAACAACTCTCTTCAACGAACGACTCCCTTCAAATCTCTCCCATCACAGAACACTACCTTGCACGGCGTCAATCCGGTCTTTTACTACCAGTTGTGTACCTTCACCTACCGTTTCTTTCGTACATAAAGTTTTATCGAGATGCGAGTATTGCTAGTGGTAATCTAAGTGAATTCTTTCAACATTTTTATTCATTTTATTTATATGATCTCTTCGGCCGAATTACAAATCAGAATCACTTGCTGAATCAATTTAACATTGTCTGTCCATCCGTCTTGTTTAATTGTATTCAACCTGCAGGCCCCAATTTTTAAGATATTTTGATAAAATTTGGTACACTGGGGTATTTTGGCCTAAGGACGTGCGCTATTGAATACGGTTTGGATCGGACCATTTACTCGGCCACTTCTTACAAAAAACTTTTATGCCGAAAACTGTAGGACGATATAAGTTAGTAAGGGGTATTTAATGGTGGACCGTGGCCCGTACTTTTGCGTTTGTCTTCTTAAATCTTTCATACGCCCCAGTTTTAGCTTGATATGATCCATATTTTGGTTTTTGTTTATTAAATGACTAATCACACAAGTGATTTACCCTATTCGTGGAACACGGCATGAAGTTCTTTAGCGACCCAGCGCTCGCTATAACTGCAAGTATGCGGGCGGCTACAAAGGAATTTACTGTGAAAAACAAAGTGCCAAAGTTTTCGCTTGACGTATTATACAATCTTTACTTGGTGTGCATTAGCCATAAATTATATTTTAAACCATATATTAAAACTAATTCCCGCCCTTTTTTTTTGTTATACTATATATAGATTTTTCTTTTATCTGAGAGAGTAAAATTCATTATATATATATACAATGATTAATATAAGAAAATAGTCGAAATTTATTGTAAACTTATTCGTTTCGACACGTGCCTACTGGTGATAATAAAATCCTATCGATCCAATTCAAATATATATAAATTTTCTGTTTGATTCCTTTCGTAATTTTATACTTAGCCGCACTTTTTCTTCATTAAAAGAACGAATGAAATATTTCAAGGCATTAAAGTAATATAAATATCAGAAATTTTTGACAGAAGAGCATAGTAGCACAGCAGCATAGCGGCAGTAGTGCGACAACGGAGTAAGAATGAATAGAACGTAAACTTTTTTCGAGTCGAGAGTCTGACAAAATAAATCAACAATATCTACAAAGCACAGACACTTACATATATATTAAAAAAAACTGAACTGAACAAATGCTCAAAGTTCAAGTAGGTATCGTACACTCACTCCTCTGTTGAGAGTACGCATCGCAGTGAGTGCATGTATGCATTAGACACATAACAGCTTCACTTACATACAATTTAAAACTCACTAAGCGAATACTATTTGTTGATTTTTCATTTTTAGAAATGTGTTCAGCTGCATATGCACACTGTAGTATATGTGTGTGTCGGTTGGCAAACAATTGTCCCGTGCTTTAAAATACAATTGAAGAAAAATTGCATTTTGTTTTTTCATGTGACGCTGCTATGTCGTTATGGTTGCGTCGCAATGACACAGTCTATGAGTTTACCGGCGAGCTTGTAATATTCATCTAACAGTCCGTTGGTCTATCTCACCAATCGTCTGACTAGTATGTCTGCTGGCGTTTGTTTTTTCTTTTTGCCTTGTGCAATGCATTTTTATGAAAAATTGTTTTATGCGAAACTATTGTCTGCAAAAAAGACGATTTCTTTTTTCGTAACTTTGTTCTCTCTCTGTTTGTTGCGAATTTTGTCTTTTTTTCTTCCGGAAAGTATACGTATATTGTTTATTCTCTAGAGCGCTTTTTCCTCTATTTTCCGACCAAATAGAGAGTTCACAATAGAGATTGTGACACTTTAAAACAATTAGTGGAAAAAATGGTCTAAAAGGAATTATATATATATATATATATATTAGGGTGCAGAAAGTGTAGCCGTCTTTAAAAAATGAAAATTAATTCACAGACACATTGCTGTAGCATAATCCGCCTGTAAAGTAAAGATTTCATGCGATCTATTCCTGAATGAAAATTTATATGTGAATGTTAATACAGAAGGAAACAGGAAGTTCGATAATCTCTGTCAGCATACTTTAGATCATAACTCTTTTTAAATTAGTTGAAATTATTAACAGATAACATAGAGAAGCAGCCCTGGTCCTTATGAGGGCTTGCTACTTTTTATTATGGAGTCGTTGAAACCATTCACTGCGGTGTGAAATTATGTTGTGGGATAACTGAATGCAGTTAGCATTCGATAGATTTTTTTCAGCGTATTTCAGAACAGCAAGAACGTTTTCAAATCAGCTTCCAACATACCCTAGTAGCTTCGTGACACTGACTGATTTCTCTAAGCAGCTGCGCTGTGTGAGATTATGTTTTTGACGTTCCATCATATTCCAGGCTCATTCAGACTTTGCCTGTTGAAGAAGCTCTCATTAAGCTGTCAGCAGTGTGCTTTGGCAGTATGT